GCACATGGGCATGAGGGAGCTTTGTGGGGTGATGGAAGGGTTTAAAAACTAGACTGTGGTGATGGCTACACAAACTCTGCAACTTTAATTATTTTAAACTTTATTTTTAAGTAATCTCTACACCCAACATGGGGCTGGAACTCACAACGCAGAGACCAAAAGTCTCATGCTCTTCCCACTAAGCCAGCCAGGCACCCCTATAACTTTACTTAAAAAAAAAAAAAATCAATGAATTGTGGGGCGCCTGGGTGGGTGAGTCAGTTAAGCATCTCCCTTCAGCTCAGGTCATGAGATGTGCCTTGATCCCAGGGTGCTGGGATGGAGCCCCACTTTGGGCGCCCTGCTCAGTGGGGGATCTGCTTCTCCCTCTCCCTCTGCCCCTCCCTGTTTGTGCTCACACTCTAAAATCTTTAAAATAAAAATCAATGAGCTGTACATTTACTACATAAGTATTTTGTTATGTAAATTATGCCTCAATAAAGTTGTTTAAAAAAATTTAGTCGAATATGAACCTAATCAGCTCTTTCTAAACCCAGTTCATATCTAGAACTCCCCAGTCCAAATGCATCAAAAATCAAAGCATCTTCATCCAAATCTGGCCACAAAACCCAAAGGCAAAGACTTAGTTCAGCCAGAGTACAAGCTCCTTGCCCTACAATATCACACCAGGGCCTCAACACACTTGGTTGGAATAGTTTAATGCAGTTAATCATTTTCCCAGATTTGATCAGAACAGAGTCATGAAATCCATAATATTTTTATTTTTTTTAAAAGATTTTATTTATTTATTTTTAGAGAGAGAATGAAATAGAGAGAGAGCATGAGAGGGGAGAGGGTCAGAGGGAGAAGCAGACTCCCCGCCAAGCAGGGAGCCCGATGCGGGACCTGATCCCGGGACTCCAGGATCATGACCTGAGCTGAAGGCAGTCGCCTAACCAACTGAGCCACCCAGGTGCCCTCCATAATATTTTTAATGTCCCATCATCAAAGGCCCCTTTCTCTCAACACAGCATTCCAGAGAGCCCCCAGTAGCAAACCTCATGCAAAGGCCTATTTATCACCATTAGCCCCAGCAAATACTAAGTTGTATTGAGTGCTTACTGTTCTGAGCTTTACATGGATTAAGTCTCTAAAACGACCCTCTGAGGTATCCAGAATTCTTATTCATCCCACTTTACAGATGGAAAAACTGAGACCCAGAGAGGTAAAATAATTTTCCCAAAGTGGCTAGTCAGTGATGGAGCCTGGGCTTGAACCAAGCTCCTCAACTGTGGAACCCACACTCCTAGCAACCAACGTCTGGTGTCTCACCAAGAAGGGAATTCCGTTCAGTGACCAACAAAGCACGTGAAGTCAGGGAATGGTTTCCAGCAACACAACGCACAAGCCGTGTTTCCTAACTGAACCACTGCAAAAGGTTTCCCAGCATCAGGATGTGGTAACTTGAGAGAGAAAAGAGCATCGAAGCCACAGGATTTCTTCAGCAAATAAACTACATGTCCCGGCATCATATGCTGAATGACCCCAGCGTTAATTACCCTCTGTCTCTTGGGACTCACGGCACCTAGGTTTTTGGTTCAACCATAAAACCCCCAACCATCCTATAGCTTAAGAAACCATATAGGTGAAATGAGTGGACTGGGTTCAAATCCACCCCCTCACACTAGCTATCTCTGTGACCTCAAACAAATGATTTAACATCACTGAATCTTAACTTTCCTTGTCTATAAAATGAGGAAACTAACTCCCAAAACTCACACAGTCATTACGAGGATTAAAACATGAGACGCCTGGCTGGCTCAGTTGGTTAAGCGTCTGCCTTCAGCTCAGGTCATAATCCCGGGGTCCTGGGATCCAGTCCCCCGTTGGACTCCCTGCTCAGGGGGGAGCCTGCTTCTCCCTCTCCCTCTGCCCTTCCCCACCCCTACTTGTGCTTGCTTGTGCACTCTCTCTCTTTCAAATACATAAAATCTAAAAACAAAAAACAAAAAACCAGGGCTATTTATGTCAAGTACTCAGCAGCGAGCCTTACCAATCACAGACAGTCCCTGACTTATGACAGTTCGACTTCAGATTTTGCAACTTTACAATGGTGCAAAATCAATATGCATTTGATATAAACTGTATTTCGAATTGTAATCTTTTCCCGGTGATGTGATCCTCCGCCCTAGCTGGCCACGTAACCACAGATACACTGACAACCACCCCATACCCATACAACCATTCTGTCTTTCACTTCCAGTACAGTATTCAATACATTACATGAGATATTCAACACTTCATTATCAAATAGGCTTTGCGTTACATGATTTTTCCCAACAGTAGGCTAACTTAAGTGTTCTGAGCATGTTTAAGGTGGGCCAGGCTAAGCTATAATGTTCAGTAGGTTAAGTGTGGTACATGCACTTGCAACTTAAGATACTTTCAACTTACAACAGGTTAATCGGGATGTAACCCCTTCGAAAGCCCAGGAACATCTGCCCTTTGGGCTGCTTGCTCAGCGGGGAGCCTGCTTCTCCCTCTGCCTGCTGTTCCCCCTGCCTGTGCTTTCCCTCTCCCCCTCTCTTGCTAATAAATAAATAAAATCTTAAAAAAAAAAAAAAGTACAGTAACATCTATTGGTTTCTTCTTCCTTTAACTCCCCCCTGCCATTATATTTCAGGGCACTTCTCCATTACTCTGCTTCCAAAAGTGTTTCCAAACACCCAGATTCCCACCTTGATGTGGCTACTCCTAAAAATGCATATTAAATACAAGAAAATATACACAAATGCCTGGCTCTCCTGATACAGGATCTGAATCTCAGTGTCACTGTTTAGGAAATAAATTAGTTCCAAAGTGGCAAATTCTAAAGGGGGTGTGTTCCTCCATTCCAATACCAAACAGAAATTTTTTTAACTGTCTGCACCACTCCCTCTGAGCCCCCATATTAAAAGTACATAATCTCTATCATGGTAATTACCACTTTCAAATAATTACCTGCATTTCTCTCTCATGCACTGAATCAGGAGTTCTCAACTACCACGGCACAGTAAAATCGTCTGGGGAGCTTTAAAAAAATAAAATAGATACCCAGGTCCCATCCCAGATTATTTCAAAGGTTTAACACGGGGGCAGATATGGTAGTTGTTAAAGTCCCCTAGTGATTGCAATGCACAACCAGGCTCAGGAAGCGTGTGCAATTCCACAGGGCTTGGGGTTTTGTTTTGTTTTTAAAGATTTTATTTATTTGAGAGAAAGAGAACGAACGGTGGGAAGGGGCAGAGAGGGAGGGGGGAGAAGAGAGAGAGAGAGAAGCAGACTCCCTGCCGAGCAGGAAGCCCCTCGCGGGGCTCGATTCGAGGACCGGGAGATTTATGACCCCAGCGGAAGGCAGACGCCCAACCCACTGAGCCACCCAGGCGCCCCCGGACAAAGCTTGTTTAACCTTTGCATTCCAGTCACCTGGCACCGCCCCTGCACAAAGTAGGCGTCTCGTGTAATTGTTTTAAACGCGAATTGGTAACTAACTAGAGGACTTGAGTCCACTGATCACACAAATTCATATTTACCGAGGGTGTGTATTACACGCAGACACTCTCCGGGCATAGAGCTCAAGTTAATTATCATTGTTTAGCCTTGAGTAGTCAGGATTAAAACACGCGAGAACAGTGAGGAAGGGATGGAGGGCGGTCTGTCTTTGGGCCGAAGACCCGGACTGAGTTCAGTCTCCATTTTGCAGCATCTCCCCTGCAGTCCTTAACCTCACTGAGCCCGCTTCTCCTGTTTTACATCAACCGGGGCCTCCGGAACATTCAGGAAAGACGGGGACAAAGACCCCACAAAATGGCAGCTAGCACTTTTCTTTTTTTCCTTAATTCCACGGACACCTGATGGAAGCAAGCAACCCTAAGGGTTCACCCACCCCACCTCCTGCACCGAGCAACTGACGCCGCGTTAAGCAGGAGCCACAAGGAAATGGCCTGAGAGCGCAGGATGTTAAGCGAAAGGGCGGGTCCAAGGCCGCAGCCCCGCCCAGCTGCCGGTCTCAGCCGTCAGGGGACGTCAACCTCACCTGGGCAGCCTGGGAAAAGGCACATTTCCAGGTCCCACCCCCCTACCCCCAGGAACTCTGGCGAGCCCGGCAGGGGCCAGGGAACGTGCATTTACTTTAACCAGCCCCCACCAACCCTCACCCCCAAGTAACTCTGTCGCAGGCGATGGCACAGTACCTCACAATCTCAACAGGTCACTGCCATCCTCCAAACGGGAGGACGACAGGGCGCAAAATACCTACCCATCCTCTCCCTCTCCAGGAGAGGGGAAACCCACGCCTAGGCTGCCCTGGGGTCTGCCAATGGGGGAAAGGCACAGCAGGTGGCAACCCCCACCCCTGCCAGGGGGCTCCTGCCCTTAAATAGTGGGGAGCGGGAGGTTCTCCAGCGGACCAGGAGGAGCCCCGCCCAGCCTCCTGCGGCTGCAGGTTTCAGATCCACCCAGGGCGGGGAAGCGAAGGCGGCGTCCTGGGGCTGGGACCCGGAGGCGCTGATGGGGGACCCCGCGGCGGGTGTGCGGAGGAGGCCGAGCCCCCCCCCCCCACCAGTAAGCTCAGCATATCCGGGCTCCCGAGGGCTGTTCCGGGCGCAGAGCACGGTTTCATGTGGGCCGGATCGTAATCACAACGACTAGGAGTAATCAGGAAACAATAAAATGGATGGCTGGTCCTAATTCCGCGCGCGGGTAAACAGCGCTGGGGCGGGTCCGGCTTCTCGGGGTTTCTGAAGGAAGGTGGGCAGGAGTACAAGGCAGCCGCGCGCTCGGGCACACAAGGGTCGGGATCGCCCAGGGGGCCCGGGCCGGAGCTGCAGCTGGGATGACCCTCCCGCCTCCCCGGCCGGCCGCCCGCTCATGGCGCCGGGTGCGGCGCGGCCAACCTGTCAGGCCCGGCCAGGCCGCCCCAGCGCCCGACCCGGCCCGGCCCGCGCGGACAAAGGCGGCCGGCGGCCCCGGGCCCCGCTCACCCGGCGCGGGGCCTGCTGTCCATCCGCTTCTTTTGGCGCACCGGCTGCAGCGGAATGTTGTCCGTCATGTCGCCCGCGCCGCCCGCCTTGGCCGCCGCGCCCCCCGCGCCGCCTGGGCCGCCGCCCGGTCCGGCTTCCGCGCCACCGCCCG